CGGAAGGTCTGGAGGGTGGTGAGGGTACGAATCTCCATGGGGAGATCGTTCCATAGGGTGCTTATTTGGGAGGCAACTGGACTTTCTTGCCTTCAAAAGAAAAAAAAACAGATAGTCCAGTTGCCTTCTGAACATGCACATTTGCTTTGAGACAACCATGATCTATTCTAGATGACTGAATCTCTACAGACCATCAGGTTGGACTTAAATGAAACCTGCAGGGTCATGGGAGTTGTAGTTCTAAGCTTCTGAAGCTAATATCCCCACCCATCGGAACAAACCACGTGAGGAAGCTCCGCGAAACGTCGGTCGCGGGGCGTAACGTCATCACGCACGCCGACGTCCTCCCTTTCACCGCCCTCGCGCTCACCGCTTCCGGGGGACAACCGGAAGGAAGGAGTCTGGTAGCTGAGACTGGGGAGAGGAAGGGAAGAGTCAGCGGGCGCCATTTTGGGAAGCGCTAGGGCTCCTCTGCTCCGTACTCGAGCTGACGAAATCTGCGGGGCTGCTTCGGACTGTGGCGCCAGGACGTGGCCTTCTTTTGCCACGGGGGGCGAGGCGGCCGGGGCTTTGAGCGGGTGGCCCTTCGCTCCTTCCGTTAGGCTGAGGGCCGGAGGAGGAAGAAGTGGGGAGTGGGTGGGCGAGGGCAGTGAGACTGCCGGAGTAAGTGCCGCGCGGGGGAAAAGGCCGAGGGCAGCTCGTGCAGGGGGTGCCTGTGGTATGCAGGCACCAAGCGAGTAATTTCTGGTGGGAGTCTTTTTTTCGGGGCGCTGAGGGGGTAGCAGGGAAGGGTGGGCGGCGGGGTCTGCTGCCAAGGAAGAGAGTTGTGGGTGAAGCTTTTGGGCCCCGAAGGTGGGGGAATCTTAGCCTTTAATGCCTCAGACAGCGGGGAGAGTATGTTACACTACAGAAGGGCCTCAGGTGTGATGTAATTACATACGGGGGGGGGAGCACAAAGAATATAAAACCCAGGGGGGGGGGACGCGGGGTGATACTACATAGCATCTCGCTTTGTTGGAAGAAGCTGGAAGAGGGGGTCCCTTGACTTACTAGTTGAGAAATCTGAAGTTCCCGAGGCTCTTGAGCGCTTGGCTTGCCCTATGATTAAAAGGGGCATCAGGAGGTGTGCTATACAGGTGTACCCACCATCTTGAGATGTGCCTGTTCCCTGGTTAATTTCCTTTCTTTGGCCTCTACTTGTGGAAGAAGAAGAAGGAAGAAAAGACACCTTGCCAGGCTGTGGATTTGCAACCATTCCATACCTACAGTTGCTGTCTTCCACAAATTAGATTATGGCTGCCAATATAGGGGACCAGCATTCTTCAGAATGGTGATTGCACACTTTTATTTTAATTTCAGCTTGTGATGAAGGGGAGAATTAAGATTTGGGTATGGCTGAGCCAATTTAAAATATGTCTACTAGCAAAGCCTTATAACTTGGCATTGTTTATGTGAAGTGATGTACTGTTTTTTAAGTGGGTGTTTGTTTTTAAAAGCACATTATCCTCTTTCCATGTTGTAATTAAAGATAGGCAACAAGTCTAGATGTTGATGGACCAACTCCCACCTGCTGTAATGGCTGCTGGGACAGCAACATCTTTTGAAATACAAATTATTCACTTCTGAATTGAAAGATACTAGGTATTGGATTTTTCTTCTGTATCTCTAAAGTGAGGATTCCAACCTACAACTGATAATATCACAGTCAAACTTAAAACTGAGAGAGAGGGAAGAAAAGCAACTGCATCTGTTTGTAATTATGGGACGGCAAGGCTATTAAATTGTGACATGTTGACTTTTTTGATAGGAACTCCTACGAAATTCTCAAGGGTAAGAGGTTTGAGGTAAAAGGGATAATCATTGCAGTATCTTTAGTAAATGCAGTAAATTTTGTTACACTAATCAGGAATGATTAGTCTGGGTTTCAATTTAGCTCTTTTTTAAAAAAGTTTTGCTTTCAGACTTGTTTATAAGGTTTTTTGGGGAAAAAATTAGTGTAATTTCTTTCAAATTTTTCAGATCATCTCATTTCTGTAAGCAATTTGGATTTGCTTTTTTATTGTTATCTAACCTTATATTTTAGTTACTGCTAACCTATAGAGCTGATCTAACTTTTCTAGAGGTTAACTGCGTTTTGCATGTTAAAAGATAAACATGTTCCCTGAAGATAACTCTTTTGGTTTCTGTTATAAAACACTATAAAACATGGGTGTCAAACTCGTGATGACACATCATCAACATGACATATCACAACTTCCCCCCCCCTCGCTAAACCAGTGATGGGCGTGGCAAGCATGTGCTGCATTCAGATTGCGAGTTTGACACCCCTGCTTTAAAACTAATGCACTTCCTTGGATTTGGGTTAGACAATGTGGATTTTTAAATACGTAAATAATTAAAGTTACATAAAATATTTTAGGACTTTATAAATTAGATATTGGAAATAACAGACCATATAAAGTAAAAAAAATCTCATCAATAAAGATTAATTACAACAGCTTTCTGAATTAATGTATCTTAGCTAAAGGTGTTCATATCTTCAAAGAGTGATTTCGTGAGAATTATTTGATTTTGAGTTTTTTGACAAGGAATGGAAACAATGTATTTGTATTAATTTAAAAAGCAGTATTTTGTAACAAAATTCAAAGCAAAACCACTTTGTTAAACTTGATTCAAGTTGAAATTAACATTCTGCTTATGACATCATAATGCTGATGATATCACAAGCTTATAGGTCTTGCATAGTTGACCATCAAGATATCATGGTAGAAGGATAGGTTAAATAACTCTTTTAGCCATCAGATGTGGGTGAGTATTGGTTTTGGCTCATTCATTACTTGATAAAAATCAATTCTTGGGCAAATAATGTTGAAATTTTGTTGTCATTTTGTCTTAGTAAAATGCATGATTATTGATAATTTTATTTTTCTACTTTTTTGTGATATATAGGCAGCTTTAATTTGTTCTTATTTTTATTGTGAGCTGTCCTGAGAATTTGATTATAAGGCAGCTAAGCATTAAGCTAATTCTCTTAACTCCTTACTCCTATCACCAGAACATAATAAGGGGGCAGGCTCTCAACATATATATAAAAAGAACCTTTTTCAGATTCTTAATATTAAATGTGAAACTAATTTTTGTAGCATTGCCACATATATGAATAAAAATTCTAATTCTTAAAAAACAAAATCCAGTATCTTGTGCCACCTGACAGACTTACCATAACCTATGTTGTAAAGGGGGCGAATTGTGAAACTAAAAAAAAAGTATGCCGGTATTAGTTGAGCAAAACTGCTTATGCTTGCCAGTTGGAGTGACTAAACACATTTTGCTAATGGGAGAAGTCAAATTTCTTAGTGCATAATACTAAACAGCACAGAAGGCACTTCATTCTTGCTGGCAGGAAAAGTATGTTGCTCATTTAAGATGAGGTTAAAATCCCAGAATTCTGGATCGGTGGAATATGCAACTGGTTGTGTTCTAGAAATAATCTAAAAGTACTAAGTACTTTGTCTCATTAAAAAAAATATTTTTTTCTGACGTACCTGAGAATGCATCATAAAAATGAAGTAAACAGGAATATACTGTAATGTCATTTTTCACAAGGTTTTTGAGTCACAAGTGGGCAGTGTCTGGCCTTCCAATAGCAGACAGTATGATGACTGATACTGGGAGTTTCAGTGTAATATCCTAGTGCCTAATGTAGGAAAAGAGTAATGACAGCTTGGGTAAAAAAGTTTACATAGGTAATTTCAACTTACAACTACAAAATTTCTATTGCTAAGCAAGATCATTGTTAAGTGAACATTGCTCCATTTTAAAACTTTTCTTGTGACAGTTGTTAAATGAATCACCAGTTGTTGATCTAGTAATGAGGATGTTAAGTGAATCTGGCTTCCTCGTGGATTTTGCTTCTCAGAAGATCACAAAAGGTGATCATATGATCCCATAATAAATACATGCCAGTTGCTAAGGGCTCAATTTTTGATCATGTGACCACAGGGAAACTGAAATGGTCGTAAATATAGAAAAACAATGATAAATCACTTTTTTCCTTGCCGTTTAACTTTAAATAGTCACTAAATGAATGGTTGTAAGTCGAGTACCTGTAATGTATACACTTACGAAAACTTTCATTGTGACTAGAATTGATAATTGAACTGTCAGAAATTTATTAATCTGAAAGCTGGTTTCACAATTAATTAATTTGAAGTATACTATATGGAGAATAAAGTAAAGAGGTTATAAATGTTAAATATTTTGAATGCAAATAGATGGGCAGATAATAGTCTACATAGATGTATGAGCTTGTTAATCTTATTTCAAGGTGGAATTAGAAACTGACATAAAAAATGGAAGTAAAACATAGATTCTGGATTGACAGATATAATTGAGTTGGCATTATATATTGGCTAAGGTCCATGAGCAGAGAAGCATAACATCTTTGGTAATTTTTACTCTTGTAATCATGTGAAGCTAATGAAACAGAATCTCTTCCTGCATCACTTTTTTCTCGACCTGGTTTGAAACTATTCTTTAGCAACTCTAAAGTCATAATAGCTGGTGTTTATGTAGATGGATTTTCTGTGATGACTCAGGAATTGAAAAACAATGCTCAATTAGACTGAATCTGAGTTCAAATTAAATTTACTAGCTGTTCTTATTCAAACTCTTGGGCAGTGAGTTCTGAAAAACTGAAGACAAACACATCTGAAAGTTGAAGATCCTGTGTGGTTTCAATGATAATGGGAATAAAAGTCTTAGCAAATTTCTTTTTTCTTTTTCATCTATTTTATCTTCTATTTTATAGGGTTTCACAATACAACTTGGGTACTGCAAGCACCAGAGAAAACGGGATGGAAGGCCCAATGCATGAGAACCCCGAATGGGAGAAGGCTCGGCAAGCACTGGCTAATATTAGTAAGGCCAATGCTGCAGCTGCTTCTGGCAACAGTAAAGGGGCCACCAATGGCCAAGCTAACTCACAGGTAAGAGGGGGCCATTGATTCTTTAAATGCGCTTGTGTTACTGATTGTGTCTTAAATTTATAATTTGAAAACATAAAATTGTTTGAATCAGCCTTGGTCATTTAAACTGGGATTTATTGATAACCTAGAATTTCAGAATCAATAAGAAACCAAATTCTGTTCAAAATCTGTATTCTGAGGAAAGTCTTAAGTGGGGAATCTGGAAATGAATGAAGTTAATGCCAGTATTCTATTGATGTATCTCTTGGAGATGATGGAACACACTGTTTTTTTAATTGGGGACTATGTAAAAGAGGAGAACTTCTGTATTCTGAAACGGCTTTAGAATCTGCATTTTGGGGATTTTAAAGCACTGGTCTGCCACAGGATCTGCCATTCTGAAATCAATCAGAGGAAAAGGTTTGAACTTGTTACACAAGTTCTCTTATTTTCACTTTATAGTAGTGGGTGGAAGCATTTTGATCAGTTCATGACACACTTCTATTTTTACAGTACTCAGCACAGCAAGGGGAATCCCTGCAGCAGCAACAGCAATACTACCAGTGGTATCAACAATACAATTATCTCTACCCTTATAATTACTATTATCCTATGGTAAGTAATAGCATTTGGCTTTGGCTAACTTTATAAGGTCCCTTTATAATGCCTTAAACTAGGATGCTGGAGAGGGATTCAAGTCTTGTAAAAGTAGAATACAAGTAGTCCTCAACTTATAACAGTTCGTTTAATGATTGTTTGAAGTTACAACGGCACTGACCATTTTTCACACTAATGACCATTGCAGCATCCCCAAGATCATGTGATTTATATTCTAATGCTTGAGAACTGGTTCATATTTATCACTGTTGCAGTGTACCAGGGAAATGTGATCACCTTTTGTGACCTTCTGACAAGCAAAGTCAGTGGGAAAGCCAGATTCACTTAACAGTGATGTTACTAATTTAACAACTGCAGCGATTCACTTAACAACTGTGGCAAGAAAAGGTCCTAAATGGGGCAAAACTCGCTTAACAAATTTCTCACCTAGCAACATAAATTTTGGGCTCAGTTGTCATAAGTCGAGGACTACCTGTGTACTACTGTAGAATAAATGAGGCAAGGCAGCATTTTCCAGAGAAAATTCAGCTATGCAACTCTACATTTTTAATAGAACGATCCCAAAGTGGTCATATAATGGGATGAAAGCAAATAGATCCTCCTTGGCACTTATTTGTGTGCCAAAATGTTGCATTTGTTCCTGAAGGCTGAGGATGAGGGAAAAGAAACCAATCCCTGGATAGCAGAATCAACAGCCCTTTATTGAGCATAAGACATGATTTATATAGTTTCTTAGTTTCTCAGTTCTTACCTACTTTATGTGTTATTTCATTATTGGTTAACAAATCTCCAAGGTACAGTAATTGGTTAGTAATTACATCATTGGTGTTCATGGGAATATGCATGTTTTCACACACAATGAAAGAATCAAATGTTATACATTCAAAGCAGCAAATGTTACAGGTTATACATTGTTTCATCCTGTGTCCTTGTACATGCTTGGGAACACTGCAAGCAAAGAATTGTTGAAGTTTGCAATTACATGTAAGGGCAGTTCCAAAAACCATCCAGATGAGCATTTTAATAACCCTACATTTCCTCGCTTTTTGTTTTTAATGACGAAAAAGATTTTTCAAGAGCACGCATTTGAATAGTTTAGGATTTGCAGGATGGATCCCAAAGAATGGGAACACCAAAAAAAGATACCAGTATGGCAACAAGTCTATTAGCAAATGTTTATTCAGAAATTGACCCTGAGTATATTGGGGGGGGGGGAGTCCTGCTGGGTAACCCCAAATCGCAAGGATATCACTTCATGGAATGAACCTTTTCCTTCCTCCCCCACCCCTTGGAATACAGGCACACAATGGGGAATACACATTGGGAGGAATGCACTAGTTCCTGCTGTTTCCTAGAGGGAGACTTAGGGGGCAAATTCTTGGGTAGGTAACTGATTCAGGTCTTGCCAATTTCAGGCAGCCTTGCAGGGGGGGCAAAGGGTTCTAAGAATCAATTAAGTCACAGAGTAGAAGTTATAAACTTGTGAAAAAAGCTGCTCACAAAAGAGTGTGGGAAATGGCTTAAGCACAGGACTGTACTGTACATATATGAGACAAATGCAGAAGTTTCATAAAGGTTGTACAAAGAGAGGCCGGGATTTCAGAAATATCAGAAATTCACTAAATGGAATCCAGGCAAGAAACCCAATTAGCTTCTGCTTTTAAACAAAATTTATATATTGCATATTGTGTATAGTATCCCTTCACTGATCTGAATCCATAATTTACCTTCCCAGCAAAATGTTTACTCTGGATATGGTTCTGGGCAATATGGTGTTTCAGGGTCTTATTCCCCAACAACCCAACAGCCACCAGTTCTTGGGCAGCATCAAGGGAGTATGAGCCAGGTAATATATTTCACTTTATTTAAATACTGCTTTTCTTCTATTTTAAGAAATAGAAGAAATCCCCTATTTATGGGGGAGTGGGGTAAGGATATACTGTAAATACACAAATCCAATCACAAAAGGTTCAAAATTCATCTCAGAAATTCTCAGTACTACCTTATTAAGAAGAGATAGCCAAGTAGTGAGATGATTAGATTTTTCTGGTACTTTCCTAAAGGTTTCTGGCTGTAATACTAGCTCTGTGAGAGCAATTGATGAGCAGATTTTCTGGTTGTAATGCCATCTTGGTGCATGCAATTGATGAGCACAGACAATTGTATACTGTACAATATGCGAATATAATTTGCCTTCTCAATTCTGTTGCTTCAGCAGCATCTGACAATGGTGCAATAGTTAATGAAGTCTAATGGAAGATAATAACATATAAAAACAAGCTTGTGAATCCAGAAGCTAAACAAAGCAATGCAATACGAATAGCACTTAGACTTATATATCACCCCAAAAATGCCCCAATAGCACTTTATAGCACTCTGGGCAGTTTAAAATGCCAGTATGTTGCCTCTAACAATCATTTACTGACCTCAGAAGGATGGAAAGCTGAATCAACCTTGAGTCTATTGGGATCAAAGTCCAGGCTGTGAGCAGAATTAACCTGCAATACTGCATTATAATCCTGTGTCGCCAGTGTGGTTTCTCATTTCTTCTTGCACTAATGGCAGAGAGCAGACACTTTGGAATTATGAAAAATGAGGACCAGTTTGGTCAAGAGGTTAAGGTGCTGGCTTGAAAACCAGGAGATGGAGTTCTAGTACAACGTCGGGCAAGAAAGCTGATTAAGCCACCTTGGGCCTCTCTCAGTACAATCTCGGTGGTTGTGAATAAAATAGATGATTTGCTACCTTGAGCTGTTTATAAAAATAATAAAAGCAGGACTTTAAAATAATCTTTGGTTTTGGAGAAAGAAGTAAACTCTTTGAGTAAACAAGTGGAAGAGTTTGTGATCCTCAGGGCATTGTACTGTATTTCTCTCGTCCCCAGCCATTGTATCTGATAGATGGGGTTTTTAGTGTTAACAGTACAGAAGTTCATCTTTATATCAACTTACATGAAAGAGAGAGGGTTTAAATTAGCTCCCCAACTCCACCGTAAGCTCTCTGCTTTTAACTGTTTTTAAAAATGGGACTGGCAGAGGTAATAATGGCACAAATCTCCTTTCTCTAGCCTCCAGTCCCAGGCATGGAAGACGGAGGGATGTCGTACTCAAGCCAGTCTCAGCAAATGCAAATCTCTAATCCGCCACAGTCCTCTATGCAGCATTCCAACCACCCTTCACAGCATAGCAACCAACCCATGGGCCCTGGGGGACAGCAGCAGCAGCAGCAGCAGGGTGGTCCTGCTGGAGGGTTGCACTCCTCTCAGTCAAACCAGTCAAGTGCCTCCTATAACCAGCAGCAGCAGCAGCAGCAGCAACAGCAGCATTCTTACCAGGAAGCAGCCAAGCCCAAGAAAGGACAGCAGCTGTGGAATCGCATGAAACGTGAGCTTCCGGGAGTAGAGGTGGAGGGGCCTGGATAGGCCTTCAGAAAAGGAAGGCAAAGCATTTTCAGGGACTTTGTTACTTGGAAGGGGAGTTGTCAGTAGCTGGAGGAAGCATTATTTCCGGCTTCTGGTGTTATGCCATTCTGTTTGGCATAGTTGAAACTGGCATTTGCTTTAATGAAATAATTTCTGCTTTGAGATTTATTAGCATACAGGGAGATGGGAAGAGGAATGCCTCTGAAATGCTTAGCTTCCTGTGTCATACTCAAAAAGGAGTTTTCATTCATTTGTTGGATTGAGCCTATAGAAAGAGTTGCCAAGCCATTTTTAACAAATGTAGCTCACCTGTCAAATCGAGAATGTTCTCTAATGCAGAATAAATAATACCCATCTTTTAAAGAATTACTGACTCTTCGAGAAGGGATATTAAACCACATTAGATTCACATCATGTTTTTGGTATGGATTAAAAGAGTAATTGTTGGCAGTGTGCATACACAGTCCCCCCTCATTTCTGTTGGACAGTGGTGCAAAAGGTTCTATCTACTTTACTGAACTTAGAAATCTTATTTGGGCTTTGGGAAACGGGCATCATGATTGGGGCTTCCCTGCTGCTGACATTTTAGTCCCCTGAGGATATAGTGGATATCCTGCAAGACATAAATAGCCTTATGCATCTTAGTATATCTCCAAGAATATGTTGTCAAATTCAAGCAGCAAAATGGCCAGATTCAAAAATCATGATTTTGTTGTTATTGTTAGCTCAGCATTAAGAACGGGAATAGAGAAAAGCTGATGAATAAATTGATAAAGGAGGATATAATTGAATAGGAGTTTGGTATGAATTTATGCATTTCAGTGGGCAAGTGGAAAACCTTTCATTCATGTGAGAAGCTCTCTGGATTCAGGCCATTTTGTTGGTGCTAAGACTAGGTTCTTGCCTTTGTAGCAAGAGTTTTAGCAAGAGTTATGTATGGCTTGAAATGGAAATGGTACCTTATATCATCCTTTAATGTTTTTGAAAATGCACAAAAGTGCTCTTGGTACTGTCATAGGGGCATTTGTAAATGCATACAGCTGCTTCCTCACATATGCTGTTCCCAATTTTGGGAGTATTGAAATCCGTTAAAATAATCTTCCGTGCCTCTGCTTCTCTTCAGGGGAAGATTATCTGTAAATTTAGAGAGGCAGAGATAGGCTATAGTCTGGAAAGATTTTTTTTTTAATTATGCATGCATATACACACCTATGGATTCTCTTTATTTTTATAAACAGAAGCGCCTGGTTCTGGTGGTCTAAAATTCAATCTTCCAAAACGTCCTTTTGTAGTAACAAATCAGAACTTCGGCTCTGGGGAGCAGCAGCAACAGCAGCAGCCGCAGCAGCAGCAGCAGCAGCAGCAACATCCAAACTTTGCCTCCCAGCAGAATTCAGAGAAACGTCACAATCACAGGTTTGCAACTTTCCTATTTTCTCATTTGTTTATTTATTTTGCAGCCCAAATGACCCAGGTAACTCCATGCAGTTTACATCTTGGGGTTTAAGCAATATTAAAATCAGGCTAGAGGGCCAAAATTGATAATAATTTGGTGTGGGAATGTCCTAAAAACTTTCCTCCCTTCTTGTTTCTTTGTCTTTGAATAGAGAGTTTATTGTGCTTTAGTAAAATGAAAGAATTCAGATGAAGCACTGGGCAAATCCCAGACTTGGGGGGAAAATTCTATTGGGAAGCAATCACTTGCTGTTTCTCATTCCTAGAGCTTTTAGAGTCTGAATAATATAAATATAATGTAAATAAAATATATCGGATTCTGCTCATTGGAAATTTATTTAAAAGTGCACTAGGGATTGCTGCATCACAATCCGAACTTGTGCCAGCCAAGTGGTAAGGGGAAGCCTCAAAATACTGGTGCTTTTTCTTTGGGTTATCATAGTATGTTAGCATATAACCCATCCTTGGGTCATCTTAGCTGGGTGATTTTCGGGCATATTTTGCGTGAAATATATTTTACACAAAGTGGTGGTGCTTCAGATATGATGAAGTTGCTATGGAAATTATGTGTTCTCGTTGAGGGATATTAGGAAGTACAGCCTTTTCCAGTGTTTTATGGAGTGTAAGGGTCATAGTTGATACCACCAGGTGATCCATCGAGTAATTCTCAACATACGACCAAAGCGAAGCTCAGAATTTCCTTCGTAAGTCACGATGGTTGTAAGTTGGAGGCATCCACATGACTGATACTTTTACTTTTATGCAGTGCTTGTGAAGTGAATGTAGTGCTCAAAAAAGCTACTCGATGTATTCCCTGTGAACAGTTTTGCTGGAAAACCAGCAAATGTCATTGTAAACCGTGGTCACTTTGAACCCTGCAACCAGCCATAAGAGTGAGCCGTTTACCAAACTCTCAGATTATAGTGATGTGGCTGGGATTCTGCTGTCGGAATTCCATACTTAGGTTGCTCCTTTTGGGCATCTGTTGTAATTCTGAATGGTCACTTAGCAGCTAGCTAAGTGAAAAGTACAAGTATGGAATAAAGCCATGTGCGGGTGCTGTGAGGATGTTTGAAAATTGTATAAGAGCATCCCTCACATCCAGGGGAATGATTGTGATAATGTGGCAGTAGCCTTTTGAAGGATGCCTCTTTCTCATTAGATAGGTTGTGATGCACTGGAAGGGAAGGAGTAATGTCAAGAGGACAGAAGCAGGAAAATCAGTGCTGCCATGCCCGCATGTTTGGATGCTAAGAGTCAGGGTTCATGGCAATTGTGTTTGTTGGTTAAGAAATACAGGGAGTCCTCGACTTACAACCATTTGTGTAGTGACCAGAGTTACAGCAATACTGAAAAAAGTGACTTCTGACCACTTTCCACACTTCTGACTCTTTCAGCATCCCCCATAGTCATGTGATCAAAAACAGCCACTTGGCAACTGTAATGGTTGCATGATCCCGGGGTCGTGTGATTACTTTTTCTGATCTTCAGACAAGCAAAGTCAATGGGGAAGCCAGATTTGCTTAACAACCACCTTTCTAACGTAACAACTACAGTGATTCGCTTAACAACTGTGGCAAGAAAGGTAGTAAAATTAAGGAAACAATTAACAACCGTCTTACTTGGCAATAGAAATTTTGGGCTCAATAGAGGTCCTGGGTCAGAGACTACCGGTAATACCTTGTAAGGCCCTAGGAGAGTTATTTAGATTGGTGGTTGAATCTCAGCCAATTTGCTTATGACTTGTCATGTGACAATATAACCAGGAACAATTGGGCCAATGAGAAAGTATGCAAATGTTTAAAAGTGGAGCATACTGTGCTTAAAAATGAGATGGAATAGAACAAGCTGCATACTTGAGATAGTTAAGCTTTCATTCATGATTTGCAAACTGTTTAGTTTCTTTTCAACTAATCTTAACCATTTCTAAAGTATGGATTGCAGTTAAATAAACATATTAGTGGAACCTTGCTATTTTAATGTTTTCTTTTTCCATATAGTTCTTCCACAGGTAAGCCTGAAGATTGGCCACAGGACATGAAAGAGTATGTCCAGCGCTGCTTCACAGCTTGTGAGTCAGAGGAGGACAAAGACCGCACAGAGAAGCTGCTTAAAGAGGTCCTTCAGGCCAGGCTACAGGATGGCACTGCCTATACCATTGACTGGAGCAGGGAACCATTGCCTGGGTGCGTAGCTTTGCAGGCAGAGGGTGACACGGGATTTGGAGAGCATTTGATCTTTTTATTGGTGCATAAATTAAGCCAAATTAGCTCAGTGCTTTGTATGCATGTCCCTCCTGATAGTATTATTTTAAGACAAGAAGAGGCAAAAAGATAGTGATCACCAAGAGAGCGATAAAGATGGTCACTCATTGGAGAGTTTAATAAAGGTAGTCCTCCACTTATGACCATGATTGAGCTCTGATTTATGGTCAGAAGTTGTGCCAGTCATTAAGTGGGTCAAAACGTAACTGACTTTTATTTATTTCAACAAATACGTTGTCCAAAATGGGCATTTTTGCCAGAAATGAAGATTTCTATTTTTTTAAGGATTTTCTTTAAGAGGCAAATAAGGCTACTAGACTTGATTGCATCTAGTCGAGTTAGGTCACAAATATGTTGCACTTTTTTAGCTGGTGTGTGTTTTAGAGTTTGAGCGTGCATATAATGAATGCATGATCTAATTGCCATGGTGAGCAGCTTGCTCATTTCCTAAGATTCAGCAGATCTGTTATTCCTTCTACAGCTTGGGCCGAGACAACTTGGCTGAAAGCCCCAAGAAAAAACAACAGCGCTGGGAAGTGTCTTCTCTGCACCCACCACGTGCCTCTGTGCAGTCAAGTCTTGCTCAACAGCAGCAGAGGAGTGGTGGGGGCAATTCTCAGCCCCAGCGAGGGGGAGGTAGCGGAGGAGCTGGGACTGGTCGGATTCGTGGGAATGCCTTCCCCACCAAATTTGGAAACCGCAATGTTTTCATGAAGGAAAACAGCTCATCCTCAAGTGTTGATTCACGTTCTAGGTCACGGTCATCATCCCGATCTCCCAGTCGCCACTTCCGAAGAAGGTAAACAATGGAGGTCAAAGAATAGAATATATTTGTAACCGTTATCTTGGATCGTGCAGTTCCATTGGTTCTATGTTGGAGCTATCACTTCATTCCCTGCATATGTGTTCCCAGCTACGGTGATTATAATGCCACCTGATAAATGAAGGCAAAATATATGTGTCCCAGAATAATTTTGCAGAATCCAATCTGAGTTGGTTACCAGCACCAGAGATTTATCATATTTTCCGGACTATAAGATACACATTAGCTTTAGAGGAGGAAAACAAGAAAAAAAATTGCTTCCGTGGCCTGTTTGTTTGAACAGGCAGTGGTGATAGGCAGCAGCAATCCCCACTGCCTAGAATAGCTGATTGGCACTGCACCCACCCCATCCCCAGGCAATATTAGTTCTATAAGACACACAGACACAACCACCCACTTTTTGGGGGGGGGGGGGTGCATCTTATTGTCTGAAAAATACGGTAAGTCTTGGAAGCTTTCGGATTTGTGAAACTGGAGCTCATCCTCAGGGGACTTACTAAACCTCTGGTCCCAGTGACCAACTTCACCTGTTTGGTAAGGACATGCCTATTAAACTAGAGTAGAATCTTCTGGTTTTTTAAAAAAAAGTTACAAACCAAGACTACAAGTAGTCCTCAACTGACGACCACAATTGAGCCCAAAATTAATTGCTAAGTACAAAATTGGTTAAGTGAGTTTTGTGCCATTTTACCGACTTTTCTTGCCACATTTGTGAAGTGAAATGTTGCAGTTATTAAATTAGTAACAGTTGTTCCAAAAGGAGATCTCCTGAGTCTGGAAAGCAGCTGTGGTAAATGGTTGTCAAATGTCTGAATTTTGATTGTATGACCATGGGGATGCTGCAACGGTCATAGGAGTGAAAAGGTCATAACTCACTTTTTGCAGTGCCTTTGTAACTTCAAATGACCACTAAACAAACTGTTGTTAAGTTGAGAACCATCTTTTGTGGAAACTGGTTCCTTTACAGCACCAATAATACTGTTCATTTTATTGAGCTTTTTTTGCAGGGGGGAGAGGCTTATTGCAACAACACCAGGCTTTGAGTTTAACATAACAGCCAAAGGTAAATATTTTCTTCATCTTTATATAGCGATTCAGATTCTGACAGCTCCTATTCTGGAAATGAGTGTCGCCTGGGTGGCCGGCGGAATGCTCAGAAAAACCGAGGGCGGGGAGGCCACATGGATAGAGGACGGATGAGAACACAGCGAGGAAAAAGGCAAGTTGCATGGGGAGAGGGCCTTCCTTCGATGTGATTGCTGGTTGCTAATAGGGAATTTGGAAGTAGAACTTGTAAGAGTGATTGTAAGAATTTTTTAGTTTTTGTCTGGCCCTCAGAGGAAGCAGCAATCAGCAGTGCTGTATCCAGGACTGTTACACATAAAGTCCTTGGCCCATGCTACTCTGCAAGAGCCTTAGGGAATTTGGACAATTCAAGTGTGAAGCCCAGCCCAGAGTTAATCCAGTTTTATTTTTGTTTCCCATTGACATGTGCGATTACTTGTATAGCAGATGTGGCTTTTCTTTGAGGTACCATAAATTTCTTCAGAAGTTTCAGTTTTGGCTCTACAGATATATACTGAGCAGCTGTGATGGCTCAGTGGTCAGAATGCAGTATTGGAGGCTGACTCTGCCCACAACCAGGAGTTCAATCTTGACCAGCTCAAGGTTGACTCATCCTTCCATCCTTCAAAGGTCGGTAAAATGAAGACCCAGATTGTTGGGGGCAATACGCTGACTCTGTAAACCACTCAGAGCGGGCTGTAAAGATCTATGGAGAGGTATAATAAGTGTATTGCTTAAATGTGCTCTTAAAAAGTCATTTCTGATTTTGATTGGCTTGGGACTTCTCCAGCTTCTCTATACATTTCTGGTCTCGTTTTTTTAGATTGCAGATAACAAATCATTTTCTTAGAGACCTCATAAGTTCCTCCTACCTTCTTGGCATAATTTTCAGTTTTCTAGCTCATTGCATTTCTTGATATGGTTGCTTTGCTTGTAGCTTTTTGACTCCATCTCTGCCCATTTTTTTCTATATCCTGTGGTATTGTCCTACATCCATTCATGCTTTGAAGTGCTTATGTTATGTTTCAATTGTAATCCGTGAACAGAGATATTAAAGCAGTAATAATCACGCAGATCTATGATTACAGTAATTGGTATAAAAACATTTGCACGAGCACTCGTAAGTATTTCATGGGAGATTACATAAGGGTCTTACTAACTCATCCAGTTCATCTCCCTCTCTCTATATCCATCTAGACATGATCAAGGTCCTCCCAAGCGAAATCGGAAACGCAACACTATGGATTATGAAGACCCTGAAAAGGAGTTCAAGAAGGAACGGAGGGCAGCACGCTTCCAGCACGGAGCTCATCCGAAAAAGCTGCGTCTCGAACCTCTTATCTTACAGATCAATGCTCTGGACCCTCTTGGCTCTGATGGCCTTGACTGGAATGAGTTGAAAATTGTAGGCACCTGCCAAGACATCACAAAGCATTACCTGCGCCTCACCTGTGCTCCAGACCCCTCCACTGTCCGGCCTCTCTCAGTGAGTAACCACCAAGGGGAAAGCAAAAAGAGCCTGGCTAGTACATGTAGTTCTCGACTTAACAACCACAGTTGAGCCCAAAATTTATGTTGCTAAGTGAGAAATTTGTTAAGTGGGTTTTGCCCCTTTTTACAACTTTTCTTGCCAGATTTATTAAGTGAATCACTGCAGTTTTAAATTAGCAACACCATTGTTAAGGGATCTGACTTTCCCATGAACTTTGCTTGTCAGAAAGTCACAAAAGGGGACCACATGACCCCAGGACCCTGCATCCGTCATAAATATGAACCAGTTGCCAAGTGTCTGAATGTAAATCACATGACCATGAGGAGGCCGCTATGGTCATAAGTGTGAAAAAGGATCATAGCTTACTTTTTTCAGTGTCATCGTAACTTTGAACATCACTAAACTAACAGTTGTAAGTTGAGGACTACATGTTTTTGCTTCTATTTCTGCTTTCTATTTCGACCTGTCCTTTATTCTAGGGGTCCCCAATCCCCGGGCTGTGGCATGGCTGTCTGGAGCTGGGCCACACAAGTGGCGGGCGAGTGTGCATGCACGTAATTCCATTTATGTGATCAGCAGGTGAATGCACATCTGTGTGAAGCTCCATTTGTGGGAGCGGTGGGCGCCCTGCTGCTTGCTTAAATGGAGCTATGCACATTCACTCACTACTTGCACGGAACCAATCCCTCTCTCCCTCTGCCACCACTGGTCCGGAAAGCTGGAAAGGTTGGGGGACCGCTGCTTTATACAGTTCTGGGTTGGTTTCAAGGAAATAAGCTCTCATAGGATGTGAAAAAGTCTAAGAAAGGAAGAGGAGGAGGAAGAAGAAGCAGATTTGCCCAGTCAGATGTACAATAATTGAGATAGTGAACTAAGACAGGATGAAGTGGTACCGCTTCATCCTGTCTTAGTACACTATCTCAATTCTTGTACACCTGACTGGGCAAATCTGCTTCTTCCTCCTCTTCCTTTATATATCCCTTTACTCCTATTATAGTTATAACAAGCATACACTCTGCTCTTATACAGAATTGCTTTGTCCAGTATTCATCTTTTAAAGTTAGGTGGATGGGCAATCACCTCCCAACTTGGTCTGCTGAATTGCAGACTGACTTTAAAAATATTAATAATAATAATAATAGGCAGGAAATGACAAACTGGGTGTGTTCTTTTGGGGTGGGAGGATGGAGAACTGTTAAATATAAGTTCTGTTAATCATGTTGAATATTCCCTGGACAGAAAGTGCAGGCTAATCCAGTAGATCAATTATGCCATCCTGCAGTCTTGGCAATGTCATCATTCCTCCATCAGCAGTTATGATTGTACAAAATATTTCATTTGTCCTTTTTTTTTTTTAAGGCTGTTTTCTGGGCTATGTCCAGTTTTATCCAGAGCTGTTTTAGAAGTCATTTAATGTTTGTCAGATATCTTTAAACTGCTTCCCTCTTTTCCCCCAGGTGCTTAAAAAATCCTTATCCGCAGTAAAATCCCACTGGAAAGAGAAGCAAGATTATGCCTATGCTTGCGAGCAGATGAAATCCATCCGCCAGGACCTTACAGTAAGCCAGTTCAGGCGTTGGTGGGGACAGAAAGTCATGGTCACAATTTGCATGCTAAGCTATAATTTTTGACCATGATTAGACTTAACCATTGTTAAGTCACATGTGGCCACTTCATGCTGGCTATCACCGTGATAGTTAGGCCAAAATGTATCTTAATATATTTGGTTGCTAGTTGTCATTTTGTAGGTGGAGAAGTTAGAGGAACTTCAGCTACTTTAGAATAAGAATTGGGTTTTTAAATTGGAGCAGAGCTTTATACACTAATTTATACACTAATTGGAGTAATCTTTGATAGAAGAAGCAAAATTTGACAACCTGGAACAATCCCTGTGTCGTTCCCCCCCCCACTTTCTTTTTTTTAAAAAAAAGGTCAGAAAATGTCTTGACAGTAATTTTTTTAATCGGAGGTTTTCAAGTTTTTGCATGCCATAGATTTTTTTTTTACCATATTTAAAACATTGCTGAATTGCTGAATCCAGAAGCTGAATGCATTCTAAATTTTGATGTACACATGCTTGAGTACACATGAGTTTAACTCTAATGCCATGAAAGGAGAATGAGCTACAAACACTGTATTTTTTAATGTTAGAATGATCCCTGGTTCTTTATGAACCATGGTGGTGCAGTGGTTAGAATGTAGTACTGCAGGCTACTTCTGCTCATCACCGGCTGCCCAGCAGTTTGGCAGTTCAATTCTCACCAGGCTCAAGGTTGACTCAGCCTTCTATCCGTCCCAGGTCAGTAAAATGAGAACCCGAATTGTTGGGGGCAATATACTGACTCTGTAAACGATTTAGTGAAGGCTGTAAAGCACTATGTAAGCGGAATATAAGTGCTATTGCTATTTACCTGATAGCTAGTTTAGTTAAATATAGCCAATTGTAAATAGATTAATCATCTATATGACATTAGTGGGGCAGTAATTTAAAACTTACTCCGTTCACCTACACCATTGCCAACTGTTGCCTTCTATTGCGAAAGGTTAAGTAGATTTTAGAAATAAGAGTTGGAATGATCCCCTGGAAGTAAAAGATATTCACAGTCTGCCCTTAATGTACATCTGAATGGGGATCATCAAAGGGGTTTTCCTCGAGCTACAATTGTGATGGAGCCTTGCTCATTAAGAGTCCTAAGTTGTGATGGTTATAAAGTGGATCACCCATATGATAGGCTCAATTTTACAGTTGATTGTGTTAGTCATTAAGTGAATCTCTATAGTGGTAGCCATTAAGTGAATATCTATTCCAATTCCTTTCTTCTGCTGTATGTAGAAATTTCAAGTCACGCAAGCTAATATATGAATTCTTGGCCATCTCTCTCTTGGCTCTGTTTAGGTTCAAGGAATCCGTGCAGAATTCACTGTGGAAGTATATGAAACCCATGCCAGGATAGCTCTGGAAAAGGTAGGACCTACCTAGTATAATCTTCTAATAAGATAATGCTCCATGGATCCAGATTTCACTCCATTTTTATCAATTGCTATCTTTCCCCTATTTGACTTCTTATTCACATAAATATTATATAGCTATACCCTTTGGAAGAAAGAATGTAATAGCATGCAAAATGTTCTCATTTGAATCATTTTGAAATTGAAACACCCTGTTTTGAATTTGAAATGATTTAACCCCACAAACTGGATAAATATATTGAAGTAGTCATCTTACATCATGTGGTACTTCCACACAGTGTAAATCTGATCTAGAAGGAGCCAATTCCCTCTTTGTTTTTAGTTTAGATTTTAGGAAATCTATTTTCTTGGGCAAATTTTGAAAATACACTTTTAATTTCCTATTTCCAAAATAGGAAAATGACTAGAGGGATAACTTGGAAGTCCTATTCAACAACTTTATCTCCCTGCCTTTTTTTTTAACCATGTACACTTTCCTATCCCCAAAATATTTGGGCAATTCATATTCTTTAAGGATTGTAGAAAATATTTGATTTTTCTTTATGGTGAATGTGTTCCTCTTGGATCAAGGGAGTATAGATATAGTGTAATATTAGATAAACATGACATAAAGATTGCAGCCCCTTCTACGTTTGGCAGAGCATGAAAAGTATACATTTTATCTTTTTATGTTTTACTCATAACTACATGGTAATACAAGAGAACTAATTGGTCTAGCTCAGATTTTGATTGAATTATTGATTATATAAAGGTAATCCTCAATTAAGACCTCAGTTGACCCCAAAATTTCTCTTAAGTGAAACATTAAGTGAATTTTGCCCCATTTTATGACATTTCTTGCCACAGTTGTTAACTGAATCATTGCAATTGTTAAGTTAGTGATATAGTTGTTAAGTGAACCTGGCTTCCCCGTGTCAAAAAACCTCAAAATGTGATCACATGATCCCAGGTCACGGCAGTTGTAAGTTGCCAAGCCTCTTGAGTTTTTTATCATGTGACTATGGGGATGCCACAACAGTTGTAACTGAAAAACAGTCATCATTTTTTGCAGTGCCATTGTAATTTCAAACCGTCAGTAAATGAATTGTTGTAAGTTGAGGACTACCTGTACCATTAGCTCTTAGTTCATAGTGGCTCAGTGGCTAAGATGCCGAGCTTGTCAATCAAAAAGGTCGACAGTTCAAATCCCTAATGCGGCGTAATGCAGTGAGCTCTCATTACTTGTCCCAGCTTTGGCCAATCTAGCAGTTTGAAAGGACATAAAAATGCAAGTAGAAAAAAAGGAACCACCTTTGGTGGGAAAGTAACAGCGTTCGGTGCATCTTTGGTGTTTAGTCATGCTGGCCACATGACCATGGAGATGTCTTCAGACAAAGCTGGCTCTTTGGCTTTGAAATGGAAATGAGTACCACCCCCTAGAGTCGGGAACAACTAGCACATATGTACAAGGGGAGCCTTTACCTTTAGTGTTAGCAAGGAGAATAGGCAGGATCTAAAATTCCTGTTGGAAAACATTAGGTTAAAAGTTGTAGAAACCTTTCCCCTCTGTCCATTCCAAGGTAAGTCAGTCCACAGGTGTGAAGTTGTGGTGAAAACTTATGCGGAGAAAGCAATAAGAAGATGTTCTTAGAAGTTGTTCTTAGGCAATAAGATAAGTTGTTCTCAGGAACCCAGACAAAACAGATGGCCCCAGGTTCATCCCTCCCACCCACCCACCCCCATTCCCAGGAAGATACATCGAAGGAAAGACCAGAACTAGGGAACATCATAAAATATCACCGCCTGCCCCTCCCTCCCGCCAAAATGGCAGCATTTCTATAGGGATCTATGGGGACCTGATACTATCATTGAGTCCTAGCTGGTGATAGTCCTCTTTTTTCTTTCTAACTTTCCAGAAAGCTCAGACTTGCTCAATTTGAGATTGTACTCTAACAAAATTTCTGATGTGAGACACCTTAATTTTTTTTCCGTAATGATGATTTATCTTTTCCAGGGTGATCATGAGGAGTTCAACCAATGCCAGACACAGTTGAAGTCTCTTTATGCTGAGAATCTTCCAGGAAATGTTGGAGAATTCACTGCTTATCGTATTCTCTATTACATTTTTACCAAGAACTCTGGAGGTGCGTAGTGGGCCTGCTGGGAGATAGACTTTGAATTTACTTAAACATCTGGGAATCCTTCTTGTTGTGAAGAATTTCTGACATACACTCTTAATAAATCTTTTGGCCAGGTTGTGATCTTTGCCTGTTTAACCCAAGCAGTTGTACAGATTCTCCCAGACTCCATGTCTCTTTCTCAAAACATTTTTCCCGTAATAGCTGGTATCAGTCATTTTAGGAGACTTAAAATTAAATTGTTAAGCAGTCATTAAGCAAGATATCACCTGATCTCAATTTTCAACCTTCCCTGCTGGCTTCCCCATTTATTTTCCTTTTTTGAAGCTGACTGGGAAGGTTGCAAATGATGATCATGTGACTCTGGAATGACAAACTGCAACTGTCATAAAGGTGAGTCAGTTGCAAAGCATTCCGGTCATGATCATGTAACCACAGCGATGCTTTGCATGTGCAAAGACTAGTCATAATTTGCTCCCCCACCCCCCCCCCCCCCCCCCCCCGGTACTATCATAACTTTGAATAGTTGCTAAATGAGTGGTCATAAGTTGGAGAATACCTGTAAGTGAGAAATGGGTTATTTCATGAGACTGTTGGGGTGACTTGCCTTTCTCTCTCCTGTAGACATCACAACTGAGCTGGCATACCTGACAAAGGAGTTGAAAACGGACCCTTGTGTGGCACATGCCCTTGCCTTGCGAGCTGCCTGGGCCCTCTCCAATTACCACCGTTTCTTCTGTCTGTACCGTCAGGCCCCTTGCATGTCTGGCTACCTCATTGACAAGTTTGCTGAACGAGAGAGGAAAACGGCCCTCAAAGCCATGATCAAAACGTATGTGAAGCTGAACCTGTCCTCGGGTTGAAATGGGAGGGGAATGCCACACACCTGCACACTCCTTTCCCACTCCCACTCCACCTTTGTTGCAATGTCTGGTAAGGGGGCAGAATAGTGTCCAGTAGTAAAAAGTGGGTCAAATGGTGTACTCTTTCCAGCAACTTCAAGAAAGGTGTCTAAGCCCTGGGCAGGTAAGTACAGTAGCTGCGGCCTAGTTAGGCAGGTATTTAGGATGTTTAATTATAAACTGGATTGGCTGTCTCTCATTACCAGATCGCTAGAACTTTGTTAGTTCACTTGGATAGAAAACATTTTTTTTTTTGCAGAAATCTTTGACTCTGAAATGTGAATCTAGAAAACAATGTTCATTTAAGAAATGGCTGCAGTTTGGTGATGATAGGTGGTTTAGGGGATGAGCTAGAAACTGGCAGGTTGTGGGTTCTAGTCCTCCTTTAGGAATGGCAGGTGATTGGAAAGTCTCTTGGCCCACATCCCCTCACAGGTTTGTGCTTGTGGGGAGAATAGGAGGTGGGAGCATTGCATACGCTGGCTTGAGTTTCACAAATAAAGGTGAGATATAAATCAAATAGTAAAATAAGCCACTAGACAAAGCAAAGTCAAACTGGAAATACAGGGTTGTGGGAAGAATCAGAGTAGATCCCAGATTGCCTTTGTGGTTTATACTTTGCTCTTTCGTTTTATGCTTTAAATATTCATCCTGGTTCTCTCGCAGTCTTCAGTTAGGAGGAAATCTCTCCATTTGTAGCTCTCCTTTTTGTTTTTTTTCCCAGTCCCACATTTTGGGTAGATAAAATAGGGAGACAGTGAGAAGAGGTGATTTACTGATGATTGACCCTGCTGTAGAGATGATCCCCGGTGATTGGATCAAGGTAGCTTTGGTGCAGAAAGAAACCGTAGCATGGGAGCAAGAAGTGGCCAGGGCATAGGAGCAAAATGTTTGGTGAATGATAAAAAGATAAAATCTGTTATTTTGTATGCTTGTCTCTGGTAGTGAATAATTAGTGAACAGGGAGGCAGGAAGAATTGAATTTGCTCTAAATAATAAGTGTTAATTGCTCACATAGTATTCTTCCATACACTGTCCTGTTTTCTAAAAAATTAGTCTTAGCCACCAACAAGAATGCCATAGAAAGTGATGTCTGTTGCAGGGTTATTTTTCTACAATGGAGGCACAACTTTTATTTATTTTCTATATTGCTGTCCCTATTGTCTTGAAGAGACATCATCGTTTCCTTTTTCTGAGTCTCCTGCTCTCTAATGATGAGCAAGGGTCCCTTTCAACCCCTCACAATGCTTCTTTTGATTTGGTTGGCTAACCTATTATTTTTAAAAAGCACATCACACTGTATTACACTGGCACCATGATCAGCAAACATACCAAGAAAACAAATCTCGGCAAACTACCTTTAAAAAAAAAAGGTATCTACTAGACATTGTATGCCAGCTTCCATTCTCAAGCATCCCAATCTGTTCATCTTGAGTTGTTGTAAAGAGTACTTCTCCCCCCCCCTCCCCATTCATGTTTCAGAACCACTCCAATAGGTAGAAGGCAGTTTAAACTCAAAATCTCTCATTTTTGTGAGATGTGGCAGTGGTGGAGATACTCAAAGCCTCCGAGTAGTTCCATTTCTCCCCTTTTCAACATAAGAAAACGCCTGAACTCTTACCAGAAGTCTGTCTGGTCCAGCCCTTTTCCCTCAGTGACCAACCAATATCTGGCAAGCCTGCAAGCAGCATATAATATGCAGGTCCATCCTTCCATAAGTATGTCCTCCCTGCTGAAATTCCGAGGTCAGTTGAAATACTGAAGTGAAAAAACTTGAAAGACGGGTTGACTTTGTTTCCACCTATTGCCAGGGTAAACTAAAGGTAAAGAGCCACACACCAGCAGGATGTGCTGCTTGTCAGTTTCTCATATGCTACCCTTTCCCATTCACCAGTGTCTTTTTTTATCTCCCTCAGTTTCCGCCCGGTGCTTCCGGTCTCCTACGTTGTGTCAGAGCTGGCCTTCGAGAGCGAGGAGGAGTGCCAAGCTTTCCTTGCAGCTCTGTCCCTTGTGTACACTAGTCCAGACGCCACCAAGATTGACTGCAAGCAGAGCTTGGCGGTCCTGGCCAATTTCTGAAAGCAGAAAAACAAAAACCCACTGCCCTGTTCTAGCCTGTTTTTAACATGTACATATATAGATATATATATATGTCTGTGTTTGTGCGTGTATATATGTATATAAAATCAGATAACAGTTGGCCGCTGTGGGCAAGCTGGGACTTGCTCTGCTGCTTCGCCCGCTGTCCACAACACACTTGGATAGAAGAGGGTAAGATCCACGGACATCAGATGGCATCTGAGATCACCGGAAGCAGAAGAGCAGAGAGTTCGGTCTAAGGAGTCTTGGGGGTTTGCCAGCAACAGGGAAAGGAGATTTCAGGGAAGAATAGTTCTGCACCATTTACAATCATCTGTTCCTCCCCGCCCCCTTCCTCTCATGTCAAGATCCATGAGTTGCTAGAGCCCCTGTCTCTCTTCCCCCGTAGTCCGAAATTGCCAGGATAAAAAGTTGGAAATCTGTGGATTAATTGTGGGAGATGATGGAAATTGCTGCCCTGGGTGTTGCCATCTCTTCATTGTCCTAAGGATTCAGGAAGCTAGAAGATCTTCTCCCTAAGCCACAGAGCAAGCCCTCTTAATTTATTTTTAATTATTATTTTTTGGTAAAAGTCTCACCAGGCGCTGTTTTATTCCACTTGGCAGATCTGAAAAAGGCACCGGTACATGAGCGCATATGGCTAGATGTGAATATATATGAAATATGGTTTTGTACAGAAGCTACAAGTTGTAAATAATACTAGGCAAATTCTTTGTTTCTTAAGAGAAAAAAAAATCCCATGTTTTTCTACTTTTATAATGATGAATTTAACCGTTTCCTCTGAAGATGAAAAATTCAGGTTTTGCGTGCACATTTTGTGTTCTTTATTATGCTCCTCAAAAACTAACACTGTCTCAGTTTTTTCCTCTTCCGAGCTACGGCCTGGCTATGAAAAAGCTTGAGAGATGCCACCTCTCCGGTCGAACACAAAAACAGCCTGAGGGGGAAAGAGCAAAGCAAAATCTGTCTTCACATATTTCCTACCAGTTCAAAGACTTTTTTCCTACGCAAAGGAGAATGTGAGAGACTTCTTTGTTAACAAAACCCCACAAGGATGTGGCCACGACAAACAAAGCAAATCCAGAGAAGGCATGGTGCGCAGCTGTGAAATCAGATCAACAAACAAGATGATCTTCACAGTCTCCTCTTCTATTGTGTTCTGGAGTTGTCATGCTAAGTTTTTTTAATTTATTTTTTTCTCCCTCTGTCCTCAGTCCTTTACAGGTAAACTTTAAAATGCACCACCCATTTTCACTTTTCTCTCGTCACATTATTTCAGTTTTGTTTTGAAAGATTGTCCAATAATTTTTTCTGTTGTTTTCTTTCTCCCACCCTCTTCCCCACTCTTAGTCTCTTTAGCTTCTCATAATCCCTTCTTCCCCTCTGTTCTCCTCTGCTCTAACACCTCTTTCTTTTTGTTTTTGAACATGTGTAATTTTGGGATATTTTGGCTTGGGCTGGATTTTTCAAAGATTCCTTTTTCCTTTTCAGAAACCTGAATTTTCTTCCATTTGATTAAAAGTCAGTTTTTTAAAACAGCAGCATCTGCTTCCGCGTGGTGGTGTTCAAAGTCTAACAGAGATCAGAGGCAGCAGTGACTCTTAAGATTCTGAAGGGTGACTATTGTCTATTTCTGCTTATACAAGTGGTCCTTGACTTACAACTGGTTGACTAGCAACCAGTTATGGTTATGATAAATCTACTTGGGAGCTTCTTATGACCAGATTAGAAATTTTGATGCCCCTCAAGGTCACATGACTAAACTTTGGGTGCTCAGAAGCTGGACCATATTTATAGTTGTTTGCAGCATTCCAGTTTACAGGTGAAACGAAAATTAGAATCTTGTGCAAAAGTTCATTTATTTCAGTAATGCAACTTAAAGGTGAAACTAATATATGAAATAAGACTCATTACATGCAAAGAAGTTAGTTCACGCAGATTTGTCATAATTGTAATGATTATGGCTTACAGCTCATGAAAACCCCAAATCCACCATCTCAGAAAATTAGAATATTACATGCAATCAATAAAACAAGGATTGTACATAGAACAATATTGGACCTCTGAATAGTATAAGCATGCATATGTACTCAGTACTTGGTTTGGGCCCCTTTTGCAGCAATTACTGCCTCAATGCGGCGTGGCATGGAAGCTATCAGCCTGTGGCACTGCTGAGGTGCTAAGGAAGACCAGGAAGCTTCAAAAGTGGCCTTCAGCTCTTCTGCATTGTTCGGTCTCATGCCTCTCTTCTTTCTCTTGGCAATGCCCCACAGATTCTCTATGGGGTTCAGATCAGGCGAGTTTGCTGGCCAATCAAGCACAGTAATCCCAGTCATTGAACCAGGTTTTGGTGCTTTTGGCAGTGTGGGCAGCTGGAAAATGAAGTCAGCATCCCCATAAAGCTTGTCTGTGGAAGGAAGCATGAAGTGCTCCAAAATCTGGTAAACGGCTGCGTTGACCCTGGACTTAATGAAGCACAGTGGTCCAAAGTCCTGTTGCTCAGTGGTCCAAAGTCTTTTCTGATGAGAGCAACTTTTGCCAAAAGCATCAAAACCTGGTTCAGTGACCGTGGGATTACTGTGCTTGATTGGCTTCTTCATTCTTCCTCCATACTCTGGGTCCTTGGTTTCCAAATGAGATGCAAAAGTTGCTCTCATCAGAAAAGAGGACTTTGGACCACTGTGCTTCATTAAGTCCAGGGTCAACGCAGCCGTCTACCAGGAGATTTTTGAGCACTTCATGCTTCCTTCCACAGACAAGCTTTATGGGGATGCTGATTTCATTTTCCAGCTGCCCACGCTGCCAAAAGCACCAAAACCTGGTACAATGACTGAGATTACTGTGCTTGATTGGCCAGCAAACTCACCTGACCTGAACCCCATAGAGAATCTGTGGGGCATTGCCAAAAGAAAGAAGAGAGACATGAGACCGAACAATGCAGAAGAGCTGAAGGCCACTTTTGAAGCTTCCTGGTCTTCCTTAGCACCTCAGCAGTGCCACAGGCTGATAGCTTCCATGCCACGCCGCATTGAGGCAGTAATTGCTGCAAAAGGGGCCCAAACCAAGTACTGAGTACATATGCATGCTTATACTTTTCAGAGGTCCGATATTCTATGTACAATCCTTGTTTTATTGATTGCATGTAATATTCTAATTTTCTGAGATTGTGGATGTGGGGTTTTCATGAGCTGTAAGCCATAATCATCACAATTATGACAAATCACAGCTTGAACTATTTTGTTTTGCATGTAATGAGTCTTCTCTCATATTAGTTTCACCTTTTAATTTGCATTACTGAAATAAATGAACTTTTGCACAATATTCTAATTTTTCAAGTTTCACCTGTATGTCTTTAACCAAAAAAACCCCATGACATCTGTTTTATTTTCGACAAAACCATTGCTTTATTTAACAACAGCTGCAAAAAAAATTGTAAAATCAGGTCAGTCATGTGACCCAGTGATCCCCAATCTTTCCAGCTCTGGACTGGCAGCTGGGGGGAGAATGGGATGGTTTCGCAGGTGAGTGCACCACTTACACAAATGCAGCACTGGGACATGGAGCAGGGAATGGGAAGTCTTTATGTGACAAACCCATTTCACAATCATCACAATTTCCAACTGATGGGCAGTCCTGCATTACCATCATACATGAAGGACTACCTGTTTTGTCCTTCACCAGCTTTGCATATTCCAGCTACTAGCAATGGGACAAAGGTGTTAACATGTTTGTGTCCCTGGTTTGTCATCTGGCTGTCTCATGGGAGAGAAATGTTCAAGATCCAGCAGGACTACTTTTTCTAGCAGACAAATTTCATGTAAAACGGTTTGGAAATTTAGGACTTATGGTGCAGAAATTGATAACTCAAGGATCTTAATGCAGAAACTTAATGTTTCTGCAGCTTTTTCAAGTGTAAACATAGAAGCTAGAAGTTGAATTTGATTCTGCTAGTTTCTGCTAAAGCCCTTTAGTATTGTACTAAATAATTTCATTATTATACTTATTGGAGAAGATTGATGAGTTAACATGGTATATTAACTCTGGTTGGTTTCCAGAATATCAGATTAGAATAATAAGGTTATTATAGATAGCTACATCTTCTGATATGGAGTGGTCTTAGTAATGGAAGCAGGTGTATAACTAGTGCTCAGATGGGACAATTATTTTCAAAGTATATGTAAGAGATAGATAACCTGTGGATAGTAAGTGGCTGCCCAAGTAACCTAGCTGTGGTCCCCCAAAAGTATGACTGGAAGGCATGGCATGAAGCCAAAGACAGAGAAGTCTTACTATCAATTAAGAGGATTATATCTTAATTTTTTAATCTACAGGGCAAGTAATGTTTTTTTTTTGTTAGATGAAAGTCCTGGAAACACTTCCAGATTCGAAGGTGAATGTATGTTGCAGGCCCAAACATTAATACATGTATCAGGAGATAGGTTTCTTAATAGAAAAGGCCTTTATTACAACTGGTGTCAATTTTTTTAACCACTGAAAATTACATTTAATTTGGTTATACTAAACAAAGCAAGAGTACCTTTTCCCTCAACCACGGACTGTTGGGACTGAACCAGAAGCACTAAGCCAAAGCAAAAGAGACTATACATTAGCTTTCAGTGTCCCTTAAAAAACAAAACTTAAGAGAACACAAGACAGCTAGTTACCATACTTTATATTGTTCTTTATTCTCTTCCATCTTTGCAACCTCAAAGGACTTTGGTTTAATACAGATAAAATTCCCGTATTTCAGTCAGCGCTTTGCAGCACCTTTTATAGCATTTATGCATCAAGGTCTTTTTTTCAGGGTTGGTTTAGCATATTGGATTTACTCATCAGAAGCAGCCTTGGAGCATACAAATGCGACAATATTTCAGTCAACCCTTTGCAACACCTTAAAGCAGAATGTCCTTTTGTAGGATCATCTGTGGACAGCAATTGCACAATTCCAGAAAAAGATGTAGTCCCCCTTCATTTCTACCATCAATACAAAGGAGTCTAAAAATGCAGCACACCTATAACGCTATTTTAAAGTATCTGAAAAGGGATTGTAAAAATGCCTTGCTTTTATTATTAATCTATTTAAATCAAGTAAGGCAAAAATATATAATCGTTATTGCAATGTTCCTGTTCTTATTTTCTCTGCCCCATTTTGATCATCTTTCCCATTAGAGTTTACTTAAAGTGCTCCAAACCGATGCTGCTGGGGAATTCTGGGAGTTGAAGTTCATACAATTTCAAGTTGCCCAACTGTTGTGCACTTGGAAGGGATCTCCCACTAAGTTCCACTTCCTCCATATAAATCCAATTTCAGTATGCTGACGTACACATTATCAGTTCTTTTGCCTTTTCCTACCTCATAGAAACCTATGGATTCTACTGCCTGGACTCCTAAATCCTCAATCGTAGGAGCCCAAGCCAAACCTGATGGGAGCTGTGGCATTCCCTTCCTAGGAGGAATTTTCACGATGGTCAAATGGAACTTCCCTTTGGAGGGAGGGCAAATCACGGTCAAGTCCTTTTTCGTAAAAGTGTCTTCCAGACTCTGAGCCAGGGCTCCCAGTTGGGGTACAGGGTCTGGTGTCAAGTACAAAACCCGTGAATTAAAAGACTCCGCGTTACGGAAGGAGAGAAGCAGGACCGGGGGCAGCAGTCGCTGAAAACCAGCCTGAAGTTCTTTCAGAGCCATCATCGCTTTGTGTATTTCTTCAGGGGTTTCCAAGTGCAACAGGCAAAGCGTAATATGCAGTGTAGCTCTGGGCACACAGAAGGGAGCGTAATCTGAGCTGACAGCACATAGGGCCTCCTGGAAATGTTTCACAGCTTCCCAGATTTCTGGGCTGGTGATTGGGATAGCTATGAAATGGGTGGGGCGCTCCTTCGGATAGGAGAAGCTCCTCCTTCCCCCCTTTTCCAAATCCACGTTTTCTCTCTTCGCCACCACCGGTTCATTTTCTATTCCGACAGCACAAGCATGTTTGAATTCTTCACACTTAACTGAGCCGACTATCACTCTTTCCTTTTCTTTGCTGACCAAGTTTCCTTCTTGGTTAGTGGAAATGTCTTCAACCAACTCCAAATTATCCCCCGCTTTGCCCAAAGCCATCGTTAACTTCGGTCCACTACTTATCTCGTTCAACTCTTCATCCTTGGTTGAATCCCCAACTGCCCCTTCTTCAACTTGGAGGCTATTTGGAAGACCCGATAGTTCCTTCTTAGCTCGGGTGTCTTCTTCCTTCATCACTTCTAAGATGGTTTTCCCACCTCCAGTCGACCCAAAAACGTCATCGGTGCGACTGACTTTGTCCCAAACTACACGGTCTCTGTATTTAAAATATTGGATCCTATGTTTAGGGATAGCCAGTACACCAGGACCAACTGAAGCTAGATCCTCCCACGAGAAAGAAGTAAAAGATTCCTCCAAGATCCCCAGGAACCGGTCAAGGTAGCCGATAGAAAACCATTCAGCAGGTACCTGTGTATCCCAGAGGAGTCGGGAAATGACATCCTCAGCTGTTTTCATGGCAGGTTTCTTACCTTCTGTGAGCTGCAAGGGAGGAACATGGACAGGTCCAAGATCTTTTAAATGGTGAACCTCACCAACATCGCCAGGATGATAGTTTTGGCAGCGGGCACCAAAATGGCAGCGCCCCTCCAAGAAAAAACGACAGGGAGGGTTGATATTAGAAGATGGTTCTTCAGCCAAGGATGAGTCTGGATCTTCTGATGGTTCCAGAAGACTGTCAGAAGAATGGTCAGTGAAGTCCTTTCCAGAGGAGACAGCCAATGTATCCATCGCTGTATGAGAGAAAGAATTAAGATCAGAAGTACAAAAGTTGATCACAGGTAGTTTCACTTGCTGTCCCAGGGGACAGTTCATAGCAGAAAGGAAATTATGGGATGAGTGGGATTGTTGAACTGAGCAAATAACTTTAAGGGCAAACGTTAATGGCTCTAGGCAGTGTGATGGTGAATCATGAACCAGGAAGTGTGTCAAAAAAATCAAAATTCAGATGTGTGCCAATCTTTTCCCATGGAGACGCTAACAGAATATGCTACAGTAATGGACATCAATGAATTATTCTGCCCCTATTAGTGTCTCAGATAGAAGCCTCCCAATACATTAATTCAAGGCACTCTTCTTTTTCAACAATGTTGGGTTTTCAGAGATTCAGAAACCGAGACATTTACCTCCATTGCTAATTGTAACCTGTGCAGTATGTCCATGCCTCACAGCTTTTCAACCACCTTGATGAAATTCAATCCTTTTTTTTTTATTGTGGGCATAAAGACACCACAAAGTAGTTTAATACCCGCTTTTTTCCCTTTAGCCCAATGTTTTTTCAACTTCAGCATAATGTGTGCAGGCTTCAACTTCCAGAACTAAAATCAGTACATTTTAAAGTAACGGAGGTGATATACAAAACATGTAAACCAGTGTTGAGGTAACAAAACAAATTCCTAAACCAAAATTAATTAATTTTGACTAAAGTGACTCATCCATCATTCCTGTACTTCAGCACATTTGCCATATTTTATGTTTTATTGCAATTTCTTTGTTATAAACTATCCAGGGTCAGCCAGCACTCAAATTTGATAAATAATAATAATTATCATTATTATTATTATTGATCATCTCAATCAGCCAGATGTTCAGACTGGATTACGCATTTTTGTCTACCTAAAATCCATACCAAGGACCTGAAATACACATTTTTTTATTATCATCATCATCTTCTTCTTTTATTCATTAAACATGAAACTCAGTCAACTGAACATTTAAAAATATTTCATAAATATTATTGATTGGTGCTAATAGTTGATACCGGTTGCTGCCAGCATCCTAGGTATCAACCAAGAACCGTCATCATCATCGGAAACTGAAGGCATGAGCTGACTTTTTAAGACACTTTGCCAGTCCTGCTCTACTCATGAATTGCAGTGTTGCTGCCGCTATTCGCAGGTTGACATACAATGTCCATCACGCACCCTGAACATCTCCTGAAGTCTCAGTAACGGGAGCTGGGGCTTATCTTTTTCATTTTTTCCACTCTCTTATCAGCTAGCGTTTCTTCCTCGCTCGCTTTCTCCCACACACGCAGGTGTGAATACCGATACGGAGATAATTGGACTCAGGATACCTGGGTTATTTTAGTTCCCCGCATATTTTAAAGTCAAAAGCAGCGGGGGGGGGGGAAGAGGGGAAAACAGAAGGTGGATCGAGTTAGGGGAGAAATCTCCTACCTTTCCCCGATCACCCCCACCCGCTTCCGGGTCTGAGTTTCGTCGAAACCCAGTCCTGGTGCCCGAAGCGACCGCTCCCCGCCGCCGCCTCTGATTTCCTTGTCCCGTTTGTGGGTGGGTGGAAAACAAGGAAGCAACTCGCAAACAAACTGAAAAGCATTGTGGGGATGATATCCATGGGTTAGGCCCATTTTCACTGCCAAAGCCAGCAGAGGGCAATGCTCCACCAACTTAACGCAGCCCTTATTTGCGATCGATTGCTGCATTGGGCCCGCTTTCCAAAGCAAAGGGGGAAAGGGTTAGGGACCTTTTGGGTAGATATACACCTACCTGCCTTCTGCCCTGAGAGCGATTTGGTTGTTGTTTATTTGATTTTTATCTTGCCTTTATTGCTTTATAAATAACTCAAGGTGGCAAGCATACTTAATACTCCTTTGGTTTCTCCCACAACAGCTCTTTTGTGGTAGATTGGACTGAGAGAGAGTAACTGGCCCAAAGCCATTCAGCTTATTTTCATGTTTAGGGTGGGATTAGAACTCACTGTCTCCCGCTTCTAGATCACCTTAGACCAAACTGGTTCTCCAGCTATTTCTTTGATGTCTTCTTCTAAAGAGATTGATTGATTGATTTGATTCATTCATTCATTCATTCATTCTAATATGTGCCCTCAAATCACTCTTCTCTTACATAGATGGATTTTCTGGCCAAACTGCTAGTGGAATTTAGGCCTGGGTCGCAGAACCAGCAGCGACCCAGGCTGGCCACGCCCCCCGAACCAGTTCCCCGGTCACGGCATGTTGTGTAGTATTGTGCGCATGTATGCAGTTTACTGTAAATTGTTCTGCACATAAGCTTTATAATAGTTGCAAAAATAGGATCTCACCCCTGTGTGGCTCTACTAAATAATTACTCAGAACTTCTCTCAGGCTAAATTTGAGTTGGGATCCAATCTTACCCCAAAGGACATAATGACAATTTTAAAAAGCAAAGTTCCTCAAATGATAGGTTAAGTCAGTGATGGCGAATCTTTTCGGCACTGAGTGCACAAACCGGAACACACCTGCATGTGTGCGGTTGCGTATGCTAGAGTGCCGAAAAACCAAAGACCAGCTGGATGGCACACGCATGCCTGTTTTTTGGCTGATTTGGGGCATTTTTAGGCCATTATGAAAAATGGCCCAAAGATGCCTCCGAAATGGCCTAAAACGGCTCAGAAAATAGGCTGTTTTGGGGGCTGTTTTCAGGCCGTTTTCCAACACTCTGGCACCCATGAAGACCAGCTGGCCGGGGCGCATGTGCGTGCTGGAAACCAGAAGAGCAGCTGGTGATGTGCATGCCCACAGCGAGGGCTCTGCGGGCCACCTCTGGCACACATGGCATATGTTGGTCATCACGGGGCTAAGTGGTCACTATCATTTCTCACACTATGCCCATTAAGGATAAAGGTTTGAGAAATAGGAATGGCCCCACCTTCTTTCAAAGAAATCAGTTCAGTACAGGTAACCCTCGACTTACAACAGTTCATTTAGTGACCGTTCAAAGATAAAATGGCATTGAATAAAGTGACACGATCATTTTCACAGTTACAACCTTTGGTCACATGATCAAAATTCAGGTTTTTGGCAGCTGGTTCATATTTATATCCCAGGGTCATGTGATCCCCTTTTGAGATCTTCTGACAAGTCAATAGGGAAGCCAGATTCATTTAACAACTGGGTTACTAACTTAACAACTTTAGTGATTCACTTAACAACTGTGGCAAGAAATGTTGTAAAATGGGGTAAAACAACAAATTTCTCACTTAACATAAATTTTGGACTCAATTGTGATTGAGGACACCCTGTACTTTATCTGTGTAATGCATAGAAAAACAGACAGAGCTTTGATACACCATTGTGGGTTTTTTGCCCATACTTTGTGGATACTCCTGTACCACCATCTTCGCGAGTTTCCTGAAAGTCAAACCTAAATCACTTTCCTTGGAAAGGTTTTCTCTATTAATTCTCTTCCTTCTTGCTTCAAAGAAAGGATTTACTCTTTTCACATAATGGAAAGGAAGAATGATCAGAAATAAATGAGAAGAACCCAAATGAACTGGATACATAAGAAGGGCTTTTTAAAATAACAATTTTGATTAGAGTTTACAGATAACACACATAAAAGACTAATGCAAACAAAGATAGATATAAATGTAAACAAGAGGAAAAGAAAAATGTGAAGAGATAGAACAAAATAAAATAAAAAGTAAGAAACAAAAATATATAAATGATGACTCTTCTGGGCAAGTATAAACAACTTCAGTAATTTAACACTTCCTCTAGTATTTCAATTTTTAAAAGATACCTTCTTTCCATATCTCATTCCTTATCAATAATCACATTATAGCAATAGCACTTAGACATATATTCTGCTCCACAGTACTTTACAGCACTCTCTGTAAATCTCCCCATTTATAAACAGATCTTTAAAGCCTCATCATTCAGTTCTAATTAAAAAGAAATCCATTAACAGCTATCAGAAATCACAACATAAATATTAACCCTAATCAAATAATTCCAGTTTGAATTCCTCCTGCTCCTGCTTACTTAAATCTTATCAAATAATGTCCCATAAACTAATTTCTTACTATTTTCTCTTTTTCTCCTCTCAAGAACAGCTTCATTAATTTAATATGTTCTTTTTGTAAATTTATGCTAAAAAGACTTTTAAAATCACATTTAATTATATTCATCAGATGGTTTCATTTGTAAATCCATTGTGGCATCTTTTTCTACATCACTCTTAAATTTTGACATATTTAAATCCGTGTTTAGATCCACATCATCCTTTTCCTCGTCACTTTTATAATCTGGCAGTTTTTTAAACTCCAAATCCACATTCGAATCAGCCCCATTCTCTGTTTATCCAATAAAATATATTGTGCTTCTATATCCTCTGTTATAGTTCAGGTGGTCCTCAACTTACAACCATTCAATTAGTGACAGTTCAACGGACATGAAAAAAATTTGTTTACAACCACATGATCAAAATTTGGATACTTGTGCATATTTATGATCATTGCAGTTTCCCAGGGTCAAGTGACTTCCTTTTGTAGCTTTCTCACAAGCAAAGTTAATGGGGAAGCCAGATTCATTTAACAACCTGCTGACTTAACAACTTCAGTGATTCACTTAACAACTGTGGCAAGAAAGATCGTAAAATGGGGTAAAAGTCATTTACCAGCTGTTTTGCTTAACAATAGAAATTTTGAGCTCAGCTATCTTCTAAGTGGAGGACTACCTGTATCAGATAAACCTGTAAGAATTTCTGTGTAGATTGTTCCCAAACAGCATTTATTTCTTCTATAGTCAAATAGTTTTGTTCCATTGTATTAATGTGACTTGTCTCCTTTAAGAATATCTGTTAGTTCTCTCTGCTTCTCTCTAGTCAACATTCAAACTGTCTGTTTATTTTCTAATCAAGACACTTTCCCCGGGGAGTATTTTTTAGAATTAATTTCAAAATCTTCATATAGTCTTTTATAAAAATTTTAAACAACCCACAGGAAATGTTTTTTTTTCCAAGTCAATCGACTTCATTAACTTTCCAAAATCAACATTCTTTTGCTCTTTTCCAAACATTTGCTTTTTAGGCCTTAAACTTTCATAGAAATTTTTTCAACTTCTGTTGAAAATGGGGCTTCTTCTATGTTATGAAACATCTAGAACAGGATTGTCCAAACTTTGGAACTTTAAGACCTGTATCCTTGGAATTTCAGATATGGATTTCAGAAACAAATAAGTCACTTCCCTACCCTCTGGCTGCCCCCAATGCCTTGGATTGCAGCTCCCATAATCCTCTACATGCATGGTTATGAAATTGCCACAAGGGGCTTTCACTCCAGAGAGTAACAGTTTGTGGTAGACAAACTGTCTGAAAATGTCTTCATGGTATTATGGCTGGCATGATTAAACGCCAAAGGCGCACGGAACTTTGTTACCTTCCCACCAAAGGTGGTTCCTATTTTTCTACTTGCATTTTTACATGCTTTCAAACTGCTAGGTTGGCAGAAGCTGGGACAAGTAATGGGAGCTCACTCTGTTACATGGCACTAGGGATTCAAACTGTCATACTGCTGACCTTTCTGATTGACAAGCTCAGCATCTTAGCCACTGAGCCACCGCGTCCCTCTGTATTATTTACATCCTAGAAATTCAATAGCTGAAACAAGGAAATATGTGTGTTCAACAAACAAAAACAGAATCTGTAGCACATTTGTTAAAAGACATATGCTTCGAAGAATACAGCTCACTTTAGGGAGATTATGGAGTGGCTAAATCAGGGGTGTTGAACTCAAGACCCGCGGGCCCAATCTGGCCCACGGGTAGTGGTGGGTTTCAAAAATTTTTAGAACCTCTTCTGTAGGTGTGGCCTGCTTTGTGGGAGTGGCTTGCTAGCCATGTGACCTGGTGGGAGTGGCTTGGCAGTCATGTGACCGGGTGGGAGTGGCTTGCCAGCCATGTGACCGGGTGGGAGTG